TTGTGGTCTACACAATACTAAATGCCTGTTGGCCACTGCGACCAGCTCTACCAGATTGTTGTATCATTTCAGTGACAGAATGTGGTGGACCATAATGAATGACATATTCCACATTTTGGAAATTTATGCCCATTCCTAGAGCACATGTTGCCACGACAACTCTTTGCACACCACTTTCCTTAAAGTCTTCCTCTGTTCTTTTTTTTGCATGTCCCAAGTTTTTGCATGATAAACTCCAAGCAATGGCAGCCTTTCACCTTCCATCTCTACAAATGCATTCTGACGTAAGTTCATCAGCAGATAACTCACAACACTGGCAATATCATTGAACGTTTTGCAAAATATAATTGTTTGGGGTGTTCCTTCCCTCTGTTTCTCAATCATACTGGCAATCCACTTTAGATTTTGTTAGGGGCTCTTTTTCCACTGTTATCCTTAAGAATTCAAGGCAAATATTTTCCTTTTTAGCTGCCACATCAACAATTACAGGATTCACCATTCCACACGATTTCCACAAGCAAGATCGATCTTTAACTTTCACAGAGGCAGTTAGGGCAAGAACAGGGCCACCAGGTAGAAATGACCGCATCCCTTTCACTCTAGCAAAGGCTTCTCTGAATGGCTGTCTCTTTCCCCTGCTGCTAACAGACACCTCACCCCTGCGAATAAAATAATAAGGCCTCTTTAAGTTCTAATGTTTGTTGTGGTAAAATAATAAATTGTAAGAAAGTTTACCGAAATAAACAGGAAATTAAAAAAATTCAGAAGTACATGTATTGAAAATAACATGTAAATCATAAGTCTTAATAATATTACAATGTGTAATCAAACAGATCTGGGAAATTATTCATATTTTACTGTATATTTTACTAACCGCCAAACTTTAGAATTCAGGGCCATTTTTTTCCGGTGTTACCTTATCATGAAATTATCATATGCCTGGTTCTTTAAAGCTTTCCAACAGAACTTTCTTAGGTAAATAGCAAGGTGGGTGAAATAATCGTGAATTCCAAGATTTGCATTAATGACATGCGTTGTTTAATTTCCTAAGACCGAAGGAGCAAGACAACACGTTTTCAGTGCATGCAAACAAAGGGAGTACCAAAGATAAAAGACATTAAGTGACTTAACAAGCAGAAACAGCATGTGCTTTATCCACGATTAAACAGACAGTTTGTTTCCAGAGGAAGCCATTTTTTAGTGCTTTTGACCATTCGGGAGAACACCAACTCTCCGGACTACCATAAACAACGTCAATGTCGACATCAGACGTGCTTGAAAGCAGATCACATTTTGATCGTTCGTCGCCCGAGCTGATACCAAAGTTTGTAGCAATTGAAATACCAGACTTTTGCCGAATCCTGTGGGAAGAATTCCAAAAACGTCCTTTTTGTCTGCCGTGGATCGTAAGCAGCGCTTTTGTTCTTCCTTGAGCCATGGAATGCGAGAGAAATCCTTCAGTGAATCACCCAACGCTCTTTCGAACAGCTCATTGGTCAATCGAGAAGACACCACATTAAACATGGAAAAGAGCTGTTTACTCAAATCGAGACGGGATATTTTATGGAGAAGAGCTGTTTACTCAAATCGCATGCTACGTGCTGACTGAAAAGCCGATGTCAATCAGACCTGTCAACAGTCAGTGTTCTCGCCAATGGGAGCTTGCATCAGGATCTGATGCACAGCAGGTGCCGTGGAACGGCGGCCCCAAATGTTTGTCCACAGGCCTTTTCGCTTTTCCCTCTCCCCAGTTCCCCACTTGACCAAAGGCCTGTTCACAGACTATTAAACCTCCAACATCCTGGACCACGAGGTGTGATTTCTTCATCAAAACAGGTGGTGAGAATAAAAGCAGAATGATCTGAAAAGATGTTGGGCTTGAATTAACTTTTGCAAAAATTTTGGGATGAAAAAATAGTCAAGTCTGCTTTGTATCTTCATTGACGGGTTGCTTCAAGTGAAACCGATATTGTGCAAGTTTACAACGGGAAATGCGTCCACAAAGCTTTGAACCCTAATTGTCGACTCAAACTCAGTTACTGCTGAATTTTTGGAGTCAAAAGGCCTGCCACCTTTCTTGTCGGTGGCATTCATAATGCAGTTGAAATAGCCACCTAACACAAGGTTTTAATTTGCATATGCAGATAACACAGAGCTAGACAGATCCCTTAGCAAAAGAATTTGTTGAGAAGGATCATTTGGTGCATAAATATTCACAAAGACTATCTTTGTTTCATGAACTAATGTTGCTGCGAGGATCTATCTTCCATTTTTATCGGCAAAGGTTTTATTAATAATGACATTGAGATTTGGTTTAAACAGGATCATTACTCCTTTACTGTGAGTTGTACCGTGGCTAGCTGCAAGTTTCCCACCCCACTCGGCTTCCCATCGTTTTATAGTTTCTGCTGAAGTATAAGTTTCCTAGAGGAAAATAATGTCCGATCGTTGCAGGTGCAGCCATCGAAAAACCTGTCTTCTTTTTCTAGAACTGTTTAACCGTCTTACATTCAGTATCAAAAGCTTATGTGACATATTTATTGCTCAATTATAAAATGAAATAGTTTTCCTTGCCCGTGTGGCACAATCCATAGACAAAAGTATAATTTATATGGCCTGGATCGCTTTCCCCTTTAGGGAAGGGAAGCAATATTGACTGCGCAAAAATTAAGACGAAACAAAAAAGAAAACAAAAACTCCATGACTTACCTCTGAATTTGAGCGGTGTTGACTGACTGCACATCGAGCTAATTTCGTTGGTAAAGTGCACTACTGGCCCCAAAAATATGGCCATGAATAATAACATAAAAGTTCTGAGCTAATTTATATGTTCATTAAATGTCCGTAGACAAGGAAAGCAATTGCCTCTGGGCCGCGGTAAAGCGACCCATCTATGATTAGCCTTTCTTACTTTGAAAAATGCAGTATGCTTTTCTTGCTTGGCGGCTTTTAGTACTGGGTACAGCTTTTTCCTCATTTCTTCTACCTCCTTTGGAAAGTCGTCGGAAATTCCAAGATTGCGGCCTTTCCTAAGGTTTTTGATGAAAGATTTAATAAACTCTTTGTCGTGGAGGCTGGAAAGCTTGACAATAATCGGTTGTGGCTTGGAATTTGGAGAGCCAGATGATACTCAACGAGCTGATACCCTGTGCACTCTATCGAACTGAATACTTACCTCATCGTCTTTAAGGATCTTTAAGTCAGTATGAAACTTTAGTGGTCTTCTGTTGTTCAGCGATATAATCTTGTAAACCTTGCATCTCTTTTATCTCAGTCCGAGAACTTCCAAGGCTTTCTTGTACGCTTTTCTGTTCATCTTCGAGGGATTTAACTTGGCTCTTGTAGGTTTCAAATTCATCTGTTAACTTTAATAGTCTTTCAAGCTTCTCATCAATTTCAGCGGGACGAGCATTTGTTGACTTGCATTTTGGGCAGCCATGGCTGTCGTCCTCGAAGACATCCTCGTCTGTTTGTGAGCTTCCGTCGCGTGTATGCTTCATTTTTCTTTCTTTGAGAGCTTCGCAGGATATTTTTGGTTTGTTTTTAGGCATTACTGAATTATTATTTTGTGAGAAATGGTCATATTCGGGACCATGGCGGAGCAATTTTAACAGAGCGATTGAAACACGTCCACCATGGTTGTCTTCGACACCAGTCTCCGCAGCAACGCTTTTAAATTTTCATGTGTGACCCTTCTGAAACGGTGTAGAAAATGACTTTGAATTTGTGGCTTCCTACAGCGAACTCAATGACAGTACCAGAAGAGGGGTAATAGTCCAGGGGCATTAATGAAAGTAACATGAAGCATTCCCATCTTTGCCATCAAGAACCAACTCTACCAGATTATGAAAGAAACATGAAATGTAGGAGATGCCACTCTTGATGAAATAAAAACTAAACTGCAAGTAATTATTCCATGGAAAGTGCACGCAAACGATTTTCATTCACGAGTTGCAATGCATAAAAAAAATGAATGAACAAGTAAGAGCCGCGAATGAGTGAGTTTTTCTATGCATAGCAATGAGTGAAAAAGTAAGATTACAGTCCCATTAAATTAACCTTAGCAAATCCGGGGTAAGATTTTCAGCTGGCTTCCAGGTGCAAACTTCCATTGGCCATCCTCTCTGTTTCAACAAGTTATCATTAACTTACAAATTATAACAATGTATAGAATACTTCAATAAAGAAACTACTTGCTAATTCAATTAATTCAAGACAATCCAAAACAGCGTCCAATGTAGAAAGCGATCACTTGGACCAAATAGAGGACTCTGTCGGGGTGTGCGCAAGCGAAAATTCTGAACCAGACATGGGCAATCATTGAAATCTGCTTGTCTGCTTTTTATACCCTTCAACCTGGCTGCAATTTGGAATTTTGTAAAGAAAATGTTCCCAACTTTTTAAAACCATCGTTCGATGCCTGTAATCCACCTTTGGATCCTTTGAAGTTTTTGTTGAATACCGGGATTAACTGCGCATCCGTGTTCGAGGCTGAATCCAGGCTGTGGCTTGAGAAATACTTACCAGGTTAGCAATGAGGATAAGCATAAGGAACCCACACTACGCCGAAATTGTATGCCATATACATCTGGAGATTTTTTTCTCACTGAAGGGGGCAACAGCCCACACAAGGAAAAAAGAGGTGGAAGTCTCGTTTTTACTTGTAGAAAACAGAAAAGATCATGTCATGGTACTCCCCTCAACAAAGGCTGTAAGGTCACTGCTTTCCATGTTAACTGTATTTAGCAAAGAAGAGATAAAAGCTGCTTCTTCAAAGGAAAGTTCAATGGCAGAATAAACGGCCCAGTAATATTGTCAGTGAAGAAAACGAAACTTTCTTGATATATCAACTAAATCTACATCAATGCATTATTGGATTTCACTATGGGATCTGAAACAGTGCTGGTTTTCCTTTACACCACTGACACTGAACTGTATTGGAAATCTGCATTGCAATCCCAACTATACATGGTGAGCAGAAGAGCCAAGAGCATTGTGACGGCAGATTACAAGGAAAATGCCTATACAGTCTGAACATATGTAGTAAAGATAGGGCTAGGGTCCATTTTGTTTTCTTTCCCAATTTGATTAGCAGTTTGGAGAACTTCCGGGCATTCCTCTGTAATTGACTACAATGTGCGACAATAGCAGACATTACAACTTGGGTCGATGACATCATTAACACGCAGATGCTATGGTCGAACTTCCTTTCTTTCTTTCAATGTTGGCTGCAAAATTGGATCCACAGCGCTCAAAAAATTATTGCTTAACAACACTGGGAGAAGAGAAGGGAAGAACCATGACAAAGTGACCCAGGTCAAGTGTCACTGATTGTATTTAAGTGGAATGGGCAGAATGTGGTTGGAGCAGAATAAATTCATGTCTTTCAAACGATTGTGTGGCACATTATCATAACACTTGTTAGAAAAAAATAATTGTTTACATCCAAGCTTGGCAATAAAACTATTTAAAACGACATAAAAATCACATTTAAGTATTATCAAGGACAAACGTTTTCCATGTTGTGAGGGTTCTATTGTGTGTTGGTACATCAAATGGAACAGAAAATATCGGTTTGGTCCAATTGGAATACTCGGGACCAGCTTTGAGGGTGTTCCACTTTGACCAGTCCACTTACCTTGGTAGGTTGGACCGAAATGTCCCCTTCCATTTGACAAAATTGTTGTCCTCAGTACCGCCCTTTTGTATCCTGTTGACAGAAACAATAACCAAGAGTGTGGTCGTTTGGGTCAGGTTTGTGCAACCAGAATGTACGGTTTAATGGGGCACATGGAATTTCCGAAATTTCAAGCCAGAATTTTCTTTGAATGGAGAATGTCTTGGGAACGTTGTGTGGGTAGTTAAATATGCCATTCTCATCTCTTGGATTTGGTGGGCTTCTCTCTGGAGACTGGTCTTGAATGGTTATCCCGCCTTTTTTCTTGCACATAAACTTTATCACAGCCAGGATACCTGAATCTGCATCTCTGATGATCTTCATTTCTTACTGCATCTTCTAACAGGATTTGTTCTGGCTGGAATTGGTAAAGAACAAATTTATCCATAATTTCTCCAACTTTTTCAATCAGCCAAGAACCATCTGCACCTTGGACATTTTGGATTGGATTTCCATTTGGAGTCTTCATTAAAAAATACTCTGTCACATAAACAACATACCCATCTACGACTGTACTGAAGAATGATTGAGATCCGTCATAAGACTTGTTTACCTTCTCATTCATGTAGATCTTTTCTGTTCTATCTGCATTTGAGCTGGAACAAGGTACTTTTGTCCCCTGCACTATTCCGGTCCATGCACAGTTCGTCCACTCAATATTTTTTTCTATTCTATATTCAAAAACAGAAAAAGCCAAGTCAAACTCTTATTTTCCTTTTCCAGTTTAAAAATCTTTCGAAGCAGAACCTTTATTTACGTAAAACATTGTTTTATTGAATTGTTAGTGAAGATCACCTATCCCTATCTATATGCGTAAGAAAAACGTCAAAATCTTCAAAATTTACCAAAATTGTAGAAATGACGTTCAGTTTAATTCTAGCCTAAGAAAAAACGAAAAACGAAAGCCATCTTTTTTCCGTTTTTCGTTTTACTAACAAACTAATACCAAAATACAAAAAACGAAATTCTACGACTGTTTTCCATTTTATCTGGAAAAAATACCAAAAAAATACCATCTTTCACATAGGTCCGGAGGGCTAGTTTGCAGGAAGCGGGGGCAGGGGTGGTGACGGGGAGGTTGATGGGGCAAGTCTACGAGGCACCTAGTAAGGTAGTTTTTGGTCAGCAGTTTTTGTAACCATAGTATGCATGATGCACATGTCTTGGCGGGTCCTTCAAAATGGTGGGGATGGAAAAGGTAGTCACTGCTAGTTATGTGAAGGAGCTTGTTGAAGAGCAAGGGAAACACAGAGAAGTGATTGATATTTTAAGAGAACAGCATGCTGGATTGAATTGATTTTCTGAGAGAAGTGTCCAGCAGTTTTGTGCAACAAATGGCATACGGTGTCAGGATTCACATTTGACTTGTTTTGATGTTGATAGTGTGGTTACGTGTTTGGTACCTTGCTGTTATACTATAATATATAGATTTAGCCAGGGCTAAAAGCGAAGCTCCCATTAATAAATTTATAATTTAGATCAAACAATAAACCTGTAATCTACAAATAGGTTAACTTAAGGGCACATATGTGACTTTTTAGGGAAAGCTAGGGCTAAGTGATTTTAGAGTGAAAAAATCTTGCATCGAGTTGATAGCCTTATATGTACACCCAAAAAATAGCAATCATCTTCGATCACATATAAGGGCCATGATGGCTCTTGATCACAGTAGATTAGGCCTGGAAAATGAATTCTTGGAAAACAAACCAGGCCGAATTTTTGACGTTCGACAAGTTTACTTAACAAAATCTTGCCAACAAATCTGGGTGCGTGTAAACCAACATTTCATACTTTTTATACATCACATCTGAGGTGAAACAGTA